AAACTTTGAAAGAACCCTAACTCCTAATGTTCTATCTAATGGCTACTAGGGTACACTGGAAATGTGGGCTAATGAAGCTGGAAAGTGAGAATGTGTCTGGGGCAGATTAAAATGTCATGAAGCGTGCTATTCTTACTGAAATAGTCTTTTCTTGCATAAATGATCCCCGGTTTCCTATAAACCCTTTGGTTCATTTCCAGAGTTCAGAAAAGGTTGATTTTGACAATTTTTGCCAATGATCTCGATGCTTTTTTTGGAAGAAAGTTTTTGTGGAGGCATCTGAGCCTTTGTTTTCACTAGCATCCCTTTGGATCAGAACTTTCTTGTATAGTTTTCTTGTTTCCCTGGTGTTTCTTGCTGTCTTTTCACTTTTTCAAAAACAGCACACTTTGGGCCCTCCCTGGTGGCGCAGCGGGTTAAAGCACAGCGCTAAGAAGCTTAAGCCACTTTCCGCATGAGTTCGATCCCCGCCTGCCCCGGAGGTGACCACATGGCGCGGCAGACCTCTCCTGACCCGCCCGCTGCTCCCCTCAGCAGTGTACTTCGTCAATCTACCTGCTCTGCTCCCCACTCTGTCTCTGGTGAATCCTCTCACCCTCTGCATCTCCAGCCTGTATCCCAGTTCTGTATGAATAAATAAATAAATCTTTAAAAAAAAAAAACAAAAAAACCCCAGCACACTTTAATCATAATCAGAATTATTCAGACTCTCAACAATACTGTATTATGTGTTGTCTAGAGCCTGCTTCCCTCCTCGAGCCCTCTAACTTCTGCCTCCATTCTGGACTGCTTATTTTCCATTTTTGCTATACAACTTCCTTCTTGGAACTTCTTTTGCTGTACTTCTAGATTAGATTCATTTTTGGGAGGATCACAATTGGATCCTCTTCTTCCCTCCCATCCCGGTTTTATTAAGAAATAATTGACCTATAAAACATTGTATTAGTTTAATGTGTACAACATAATTATTTGCAATATGTACATAACATGAATTGATCACTACAATAAATTTGGTTAGCATCAATTACCTCATATAGGTAATTTTTTTTCCTTGAGATGAGAACTCTTTTTTTTTTTTTAAGATTTATTTATTTATGCATACAAGAACTGGGGTACAGGGCAGAGATGGCAGTGGTAAAGGATTCAACAGACAGTCAGGGGGCATAACAGGCAGGTCAACTGCTGTGGGGAGCAGTGGGTGACACTGAAGAGGTGACACTGTGGCTAGCTCCCTGGTTGGAGATTGAATTCAGTGATACAGGGCTGGCAATAGTCTGATAGCCCTGTGACTTAACCCCTTCACCACCAGGGAGGCCCCAAAATGAGGAATTTTAAGAATTACTCTCTCATCAACTTTCAAATATACAATACAGTACTGTTAGCTATAGTCTTCATGCCCAGAACTGACTTAACAATAGAAATTTACATCTTTTGATCTCTTTCATCCAGAATCTTCCTTTGAAGTTTTAGTTTTCATTCTCATTTTGTTGTGGTATAGTCTCAAATAATTTTCTCAAAATGATATGTGATAAATACAAAGTTTTTGAATGTCTTAAAATATAGTTATTTTAATCTCCAACTCCTATTATAGTTTGGATATGGACAGAATTTTATCTTAAAAAATATTTTCTGCTGAAATTCTAGACTGTCAAAGTGTTAATAAGATGTAAAACAATGGGACTTCATTTAAAAAATTTAAAAAACTAAATTAGTCATTATGCTTAAATTTTTAAAACATATATAGAGGCATTTGATATTTAATTTTTTTTAATCTGGTATAAAGCAAGTGGGTATTT